TAGCTATGTCGCTGGACTCTCATGTAGCTGACCACGGTTCAAGTCCCGGACCCAGTGGCTTAAACTCACGCCGGGCATGTGTGCATGCGTGCCCAAGATCCTGAGAGGAGAATGGAGGAGAAGGAATTGTGGTGTGGCCATTTCCCTTGGGGGTGATTTCTTGCTTTCTGTCTCTCTGTCTTTCTGGCAAGCACACGTGCCCTATAACAAAAAACTCTTAAAAAAAAAAAGTTCATGGGAAAATCAAGTATGAGAAAACTGCATGGTTTTCAACTTTTTTGCACTACAGTAAACTCATACTTTTTTCTACTTTTCCTTGAGCTATACGAAGTCCTCTTGTTTATAGGAGCCATTTATAAAAAAACAGTGATAATGGTGCACTGGTAGGTTGTCACCTAGGTGTGGCCAGGTAAAGCAGGAAAAAGGCTTCTGGAAGGTTGCAGTTCTTGTGCTCAATGCCAACCACAACCTTTCTGTTTTCTTCCATTGTGGAGACTCAAAAACAGCCCTGGTAAAACTGATGTTTCAGGGTTCCAGCTGCTCTAGGAACAATGGTTTGTTTGTTGTTGTTGTTTTTTATTGCTCTTACTTTAAGTCTCCTCTTCTTACCCCTTTGCCCTGACTGAACTCAGCTATGTGTAGTTATCCTGTTTATTTTGTTGAAGATTTTCAATCCTTTAGGGAAAATATGATAATACCATTCACAGACAGCTGTGTTTAGGAGCAAGACTGACTTAACCAGCTGGCTGGCATCTTTGGGCCCCGAGGACCTGCCAACCCATGCAGAACAGCTGCTTTGACTGAAATTCTTAATAGTTCTTATGCATTTGATTCCCGTATATCAACTTTTGAATTCTCTTTTTAAAATGCACGCACCAAGAAAAGAAGATCATGACAAAGATTCTGATGCATCTAGAGCCACCACTGGTGAAAGGAGAGGGGGTGGCTCCCACTATCCCCTTACTACTCGTGGCTGTTAGAAAAGAGGAAATCCAGGAAGATAGTCATGATTGCATCCATCAATTTTGATTTCTCAGTCTAATAGCCATTAAGATGCATGTTTTCAGATTGTTTAAAGGATTATTTTATTTAACTTCATTTATTATTATTATTTTCCAGTTTGACTAGAGAGAGAAGGAAAGTGAAAAGGCAAGCCAACAGGTCCAGGACTTGAACCATGGTCGGCCATGTGGGTGTCCAGCACATTTAACCACCAACCCACCTGTAGGCCCCAGAGTTTTTTTGTTTGTTTGTTTGTTTATTTATTTATTTTTTTTAATGAGAGAGGAAATGCCACAATGGAATGTTAGACAAAATGTGTAAGATACAAAACTACATAAATAATACAACCTCAGTTACAGCACAGTATACTTTAACATTAAATGAGCTAATGCATACAAAAGACTTAATAACCCAGTGTCTGGTGTGGCAAATACTCAGAATATTAGATACTAGAATATAGAACCTCTAACCATTCTGGGGCCAGCAGGTTGCATGGTGGTTAAGGCACTGGATTCCTACATGGCAGTCCGTGGTTCCAGTCCTGAACCTGGCAGCTTGAAAATCACACCAGGCACGCATGTGATTTCTTTCTCTCTTTCTGTCTCTAGCAAGTGCACATGTCCTATGATGAAAGCCTTAAAAAAAAAAAAATCAACTAGAGTGCCTAGCATAAAAGTAGATGCTCAAAAGATTCTTGTTGATTGAATGAATAAATATTGTTATTGTATGTATTTGAAACGGAATCTAGAAACATATTTATATGTTACCATATGTTATAGTATGATAACATTTTCTAGATTTTGTGATTATATCTATAATTGTGGCAGCTTAACCTCTCTGTACCTCAGCTCTCTGTTGTAAAATGTGGAGGATATTACTTATTGGTCAGAGTTTCTGGGAATTAAGTGAG